ATTGTTTCCTGCTCTTGGGTGCGTGTGTGTATTTGTGGGTTATTGTTGGTAAAGGGTAACATTTGTTAAAGAACCAGTGCAGATCGATATACCTTCACTTTCCCTCAACCTGAAATGCTGAGACAGGCAAAACATGTTTCCATTACTTAAATAAGCAAACAATGGCAAATAAATCATAAAGGCAGCTGGACCAAGGTGTCGTTTTCATAAAGAGCCAGATTTCTCAGAAAGGACAGTTTAATGGGCTGCTGCCAGAGAAATGTCTGCAGAGCTGGTAATTGCAGGAGGGCACACAAAGGTGTCATGTGGGATCTGAGGAGTAGCACCACAGCCAAGACAACTGGAAAAAGGAGACTGAAAAAGGTGTGGACTTTAATGATTTGCTTCTTAAAGGCTGATTGTTTTAAATAAAAATCTAAGTTTTTATTTTTAGCTTGTTCACTTTGGCTGCAAGATCAGAGAAGTGTTTTTAGCTGTAATTTTTATTTTGATCGTGTTTGTGCTGTGGCTTTGTTTCTCCTTTGATCATGCTAAAACACGTTTCAGAAATGTTTGTTTGATGTATGCTGTTTTTTAAAGCAGTCTTCTATATTGTCTGCCTGTGTTTTTTAAAAGCAATGAATCATTGCAAAATATTTGCTGTCAAATTATTTCTTAAATCCATTTTCCCAAAACAAGCTTTCTGGACTTCTAATCAATGGGAGACTGCTTTCAAACAAGAAAGTGTTGAACTGTTGTTGCAGCACTTCTGAGGGCTACGTGGATTGCAGGCAGTTTTAGGGTTGCAGAATACTCCATAATTCATACTCAGAAATTTGAAGTCATTCCGTCTACCCCCAATAGCAGCAGTGCACGGACTTTTACAATTGTTACTGGTGGGTTTGGATCAAAGTCCTACTTCCCATTCAGTAAAACTTGCTTGAAGTTCATTCCAGCATTTCTTTTGTGGCTGTGTTGTGTTGAATGTATGAAATAGGTCAACCCTGACTGAATTATTTTAAACTTCCCATGGGGACCGCTTGATACCAAACCTGTTTAAATTTGCAGGGTAGGGCAGGGCAGTCTCAATACTCGAACATACACATTCATGGATGACATTCTTTATTCTGCTGCATGGGTGAGCAATTAGGAGAGTCAAGGAGAAGTCCCTTATTCCCTCATCTGTGGATATCTCCCTTCCAATCCTCAAAGAAGAGCAGTCAAAAAGTGCTGTGCAGTCCGTGGAGAGGGCTGTGTTGCGTGACTGCTGGCCATCTGGCTGATTGATTCATCAAGACCCTCAGCAGCCAGTAGTGAGCGTGGTCTGAAGCCCTGGGGTTGAATGCAAGTGTGCATCAAGCCTCAGGCAAGTCAGGCAGCCTCTGTGCTAGTGGAACAATAAAGAACACACTACAGATCACTGGTTCTTAGCTTTATAACCCATGAAATAGTCAAGCACTTTTCTCTCCCTGTCCCCGCACATGGTATCATGATGTTGTTTCTGTAACCACTACATTCATCAGAAACAGAAATTAATCTATTTCTATATGCAACAGAACACATGTAGCCTGCTCTTCATTTATTTGGTTCACTGCATAGACATAAATCTGTTAGATGGAAGAGGGGGAAAAACCCAAGCACCACCAGGTAACAAGAGCAAGGGCCCTATAACATGAAGAACCACTCTTTTATTGACTAAAACATATCTATTTACCTAGATGGAAAAACAGTCCAAGGTGTGCTCAGTAAGAAGTGTTATTCAAGAAAAGGTGTTTCATGATGTACAATGGATGTGTTTCTAATAGAGGTTGTGTGACTACTTCATTTGCAGGGATGTAGTCAGGATTATTAATCACTCATTGAAAATCTGAATCCATCTCTGATGAGCACTGGTAAGAAGTATATACAAAGCATACTCACATGTGCTCTAGCTGTGGCATTAGTTTTATCTGCCTACCTCACAACCCTCTTCTCTGCTTTCACTCTGACAGAATAATTTAAAATACATATTTTCAATTTATTCGACTATTTTTCTATCATTGTTTTGTCAGTCCTGCTTTAATACTAAACTGTCTTACTATTTCTGGTTCACTTGCAAAATTATGAGAGGGAAAGAAAAGAATAATAATATGCTAACCGAGGGCAAGTTTACATAACCAGTGCTATATCAGCAATATTTTTGCCTCAAAATGGGGCTCCCCACAGTATCTTCATAGGCCAATGTAAAGTTAGATTTTTGACACCTGATAATATAGTGATTTATTTTAGAACTTGATCTCTTGTGATTTACAAAACCCATTGTGCTAGAAACAAATCATTCAACCATTTGGGAATGTGTTTAGGTTTTGGTTGAATATTTTTTTTACCCCTTTTTCATTAAACCCTTAAGGATGTAAAAGCAACATATTCAGAAAAGAGGTTCCCCAGATCCAGTAGCCAAGAACAGTGTATTCTAATGGGTATCCTCTTTCTCTGGTGGATCCTTCCCCAGTCTGCAGTACAGAAATTTTCAAGCTGTAGCCCTTGTTTCTTGAGATTGAAGTTGCATGCAAAGCCCTAGTATATCGCATAAAAAACAGTTGAGATATTTTTTATCTTGGGTCTCATGTCACTGTAACTTGAAAGCTATTAAATGCACACTAGAAAGAAAGGAAGGACATTTAATAGCTTTCATTACTGGGGTTTGGGGTGGAGAGCTTAAGATCTAAGATTTTTCATGTTCTCAGATGTCTAAAAATGTTTATTTTAAGAGACAATAGGTGGTAGATGCCATTTCACAGAGATCTGTTTTGTGGCCTGTCTTGTTCAACATGTTCATAAATAACCTGAAAAAGTGGTTGAATGAAAGGTTGGTTTTTTTCACATGAACCTAAGTTATTCAGCAGTGTGAGACAAAGGAAGACTGTGAAGGGTAACAAAAGGATCTTAATGCAACTGGGTAGCTAAGCAATCAAATGACAAATTAAATTATTTTTGATGAATGATGTAGTGATAAACCATGGGGAAAACCATGAGGAGAGTATGTCTATCTTCACATTTAAAAGAATGGGCTATGGACAGAGTACCACCAATGAAGAGTGAAGTTCTGAGGTTATGGCATGTAAATTCCATGGCAATTTCAGATTACTGTTTAGGAGCTGTCAGAACCATATTAACTGCTAGAAATTAATAGGAAAAAAAAAAAAAAAAAGAAAAAGGAAAAACTGCAACAGAGAATTCAACAAAGAGGGCTCCAGCCCTTGTTAAAGAGCATAGTTCATGAACATCTTGATCACTGGGCATTTTTCCAATACAGGAATTGAGAGGAACCAAATGAAGTTATTGAGATCACTGTTCAAAACAAAAATCAGAAGTAAATTTTAGTTCATTACATTGTGTAGGTGAGGAACAAATTCCAAAAGGACATGCTGAATTCTGGAAATGTGCATGGGTTCAGGAAGAAACTAGACAGATAACTGGATTGAAAGTCTATTGAGGGTTAACCAAGGACACAGAAGCAGCAAAGCTCAGGGAATCAGCTACACTGAAAACAGCTGAAGGAAGGGATTGTCTTCTGGGAGAATATTATTTGTAATCACCATATTCTTTCTTGTCTCAAATAATTACTTCTGGAGAATCTTGGAGGTTGTGTATTGATCTAAGTAAACTTTGGTCTGAGCCAGTAGGGTCATCCTTCTGTACTTACATAAAATATATACACGTATGCACCTACACACACAAATACATGAGAATATATACATATATATATGTATACACACACACAGAGTACATGATAATACATACACATACACACAAAATTGTGCTATATATACTCATATAATATAAACATCTAAACTTCTGTGTGCATAACTTGTCAATGTGTCTTAAAAACACTGCCATCCTTAATAAGACAATGGGTTGCACAGGCCAGCTAGTGCAAACTGGCAAAACATAGCAAAGTTCATTATTTCCATGACTATCTGGCAAGAAATATACACTGAAAAGATGTTAATACAGACACTAAAATAGCTTACAATTTCACATAGGAACAGGACTCTGAGTAGTTAAATATAGTTCTTCTACAGTTAATTATCCCAGCAGGATGTAGAATGGTTATAAAACAGATTGGTAAATCTGTTGGATATGCCTTCTTTTTCCAAATATAGTGAAAGATACCAGCTGAAGTATCTCTGTAAAATACAGTGATGAGCCAGATGCACCACTGGCATGAATTTATTGATGTGAATTCTATAAAATTCTCTCGCCCAAAACTTCTTTCCAGTATTTTTATGTAACCCATCAGTATGTCCACATTATATGTATTTTCGCTTGTTGATGTATCTTTTTTGCCACCAAATAAAGTTCTCACTCTAATCATTAAGAAATAAAGTTTATGTATGTAAAAATAATACTTCACAAAAATGGAAAGACAAAGTATTTCAACAACTTGAGTAGAAATTCTAAAATATATTTCTCTTCTGAAAAGAAGACAAAAATTTGGGAATTTGGGGTATCATGGGAAGGTAGTATCAATCAAAATGTGGTTTTCAACTTAACTTTTTTTAACAGTAATGCACTAAAAATTTTCTAGGTGTAATTTTTTTTTAATTTTTAAAATGAGAACTTTAGATTTGTCTCCATAATTCTTTCATTTTAATTGTTACTTTAACAGAAAGACTAACCGAAGTCCAGACATCCAAAGAAGAAGAAAAATGTCAGTAAAAAATACATGGAATTATGAAACTATGCTGTAATGTTATACAAACATTTGTAAAGAGATTTCATAAACATTTAATTGCTCCAATAATAAAGTTAAGATTTGTTCATTAAATACCTGTAGCAAACACCTCTCTGTATTAAAGATAAGAGGAATGTAAATACCTGTCACACATTAGCAGGTGATGATGTACCTAATATAGAAATGTTTACCATGGGATACAATGACTAGGTCTTGAGAAGAAAAATGACAGTTTATTTATGTAAGGAAGAGAAATGATCCAGTTCATGCAGTAGTAATGTGCACAATGGCTTTGTCTTCTCAGATCCCAGATTTGTCAGTGCTCACCTGATACCAGAGAGTGACAATCCAGAAGATGACAAGATCTACTTCTTCTTCCGTGAAAATGCAATTGATGGAGAGCACACTGGAAAAGCCACCCATGCCAGAATAGGGCAGATCTGCAAGGTCAGATGATGAATTCTTGGTGTGATACTGAATGCATTTGCAAGCAATTTTAGAAATTGTGTTTTCTCACCTGTTAACTATTCAGTATTAATTGACTCTTGGGTAATCCCAAGACAAAAATAGTGTGGAGATGACATACAGAAATCAATACATCAATACTATTCAATTCTTTTTGGGGGGGGGGAAATTCACAAACTATGATGTTTGGTTTAAAAATCTGTAGGTATCTTCTGAGGCTTAGAAAGTGTCTGCAAAAGAAAGTCTTTTTACAGGAAATGTGATACTTCCAGGTAGGCCAAAAACATTTGAAGAATTTGCTTTTTAAGTGTTAATACCTTTCCATTCCCACATTAGTGAAAACTTTTAAAACAGAGGCAAAGGAAGATACAGAAAAATGATTGTTTAAGGCTAGCTGTAGAAATGGGCAGCCATTCCAAAGACCCTTAGTGACTGCAAGATGAATCATTTGTCCACACTGATAAATGTCCAGAGGTTTTTCTGACAGACTTCCAAAAACATTTCTGCTAATGAAATTATATTAAAAAATGTTGTAGCTTTGGCAACTGTAGTGTTTACAGTAAAATTTTCTGTTAATCCATAAGGACAATTTCAATTTACCTCCTTGAATTCAGAGGTTCCTACTTGTAAACCAAATACCCCACAAGTATGAAGTCCTCAGGGACCTTTGTTTCTACGTTTGGTGGCTGTACAGCTGACCCCACTGTTCTGGCATTTTTGTCTACTTTGTTCCATTGCAAGTTTCATTTCTACTTTATTGCTACCCATTTCAGCATAATAAACCCCCTCAGCTTTTCCAGGACATGGCAGACTGGAAGCTTTGGAGCAAGATATTCTGCCAATTCCTTTTTTCCCAGTGTTGAATATGTATAAAGTTATATAAAGAGATTTGAGTGTTTCTGGTTTTAAGTTATGGACTAGTATGATATATGGCACAATCAATGTAAAATAAAAATAATTCAGATTTTTTGTCTTTGCGACATAATATTGCTTTTGTACATAGAGGGTGAATTCTTCTCTCTTGTTTTCTCTAAATGTCATCTTATTTACTATATTTTATCTGTACTCTGTTGATATTTGAAACGAAGACTGTTGCTAAATATTAATGCAAAACACTTCTGTTATTAGAATGACTTTGGTGGACACAGGAGCCTTGTTAACAAATGGACAACTTTCCTCAAAGCACGTCTGATCTGTTCTGTGCCAGGACCCAATGGCATTGACACACACTTTGATGAACTACGTAAGTGGCAGAAGTGGCTGGAAAATAGAAATGTCTTCAGGTATTACCTGTATGAATTTAACCTGATTTTCTTTTCTTCTTGTCATTACAGAGGACGTGTTCCTAATGAACTCTAAAGACCCTAAAAATCCAATAGTCTATGGAGTGTTTACAACTTCCAGGTACAGAGCATATAATTTTCTTGCATGGAAACTTGGATGGCTGCTTGTTTTAAAGAGGTCTCTTTGTTAAAAGTGTTTTTAAAAACCACAAAATTTTCTTAACCTTTGAACCGAGAAGTCAATGTCAGTAAGAAGTAATGAATTAGGTTTCTTTCTTATGAGCAGTGTACATCATCACCCTGAAGCTAGCAAACACAAAGACTATCAGTTTCTCAGGCTGTTCTTGCCATTGAATTGGCTTTTTATAGCAGGGATCAGCATTTGTAGCCCTTTCCACACAGATTTGGAAAATGAATGCAAGCATAAATAAACTTGTTTGGGGGCAGTGTAAAATAGGAAATCTGTGGAGTGAGAAATTGGCTAGTCAAGGAGATTTTAATAAAAAATATTGCTGAAATCTGGAAAGTCTAGTGATCTTTCAAAAGTTCTGTTATTGAATCACATATAACTGTGACTTGAATGTTTTTGTTACATTGTGCTTTCACCAAGAACAAAATATACTTGCAGCTTTGGCCTGAGGAAGGTTTGCAGTACTAGTTGTATTGCCACATTTGTCTGTGAAAGAAACAAGTTTTAGTTTCTAAACAGAAAGAATGTTTCTAGTGATACCAGGCATAGAAGAGGGAGATTTACAAGTCCTTACTGTCTTCTGTAAAAAATGTCAGGGTAAGGACAACACTGAAGTTTGTACTTGTGCTGCCCAAAATGATGGAAGAGACTGCTAAAAAAATAGAAAAATGTAGAGTGTAGGAAAAAATTGAATAGTTCTCTAGGGAAAGCCTTACTGAAATTTACTCAATTTGGGCTTTGGCCTTCTGGGGACAAGATGTTTTAAATAGTGAAATAGCAGCCATCTGCTAAGGAAAATGTCTGGGAGATCATATCAGTTTTGCTGAACTTTCACAGGAGGTGAGTGAGGATTGCTCTGAGAGCATGTCAGAGGTTTGATAATCATCACATGCAATAAATTAGAAAGCATCAAGCTGCTATTCCCATAGCTCTAGCACTTGATTAAAGAAGCTGATTTGATTTCTTCTCCCCTCATTTTCAGTAATATCTTCAAGGGATCAGCAGTGTGTATGTACAGCATGACTGATGTCAGGAGGGTGTTCCTTGGTCCCTATGCCCACCGGGATGGCCCCAACTACCAGTGGGTTCCCTACCAAGGGCGAGTGCCGTACCCACGGCCAGGAACTGTAAGTACCCCAAGGAATCCGAACTGGGAAAACTGTGGAAAGTATTTTCACACATTACACGGTCCTTGAGCTGAGATCCAGGAAAGAAACTGACACAAATAACGAAATAGATAGAGTGGCAGAAGGGACAGCTAACAGTTCCTCCAGGTCCAGAATGTACTGATTTTCTTGTAACATATGAAACTGCAGTAACAACTTCACTTGGATTTTAATTTTGGCATTCATATTAACAACTTCAAAAGAAGTTTTTGTAATGGCTGGAGAATTTTACTGAAAGTCAAGTGTTTCATAAATTATATTGCATTATCCTTTCCTTGGAATTAGGTTTTTCCCCCAAATATTGGCTGACTGAGCCATTCTTCATAAAAATGAATGGAAAACAGGATTTGCCTCACTGTTAGGAACTTCCAGTCAACGTTAAATCTAGGACAGTAAAACACATATTTCTGCAACAGATGATAGAGTGACTACAATAGTTTCTAACTTCCACTGGGAATTTTTAAAAATATGTGGTTTTACCTGATTCTCTGTTTCTGGTTTATAGATGAGTAAAATATCAATCCATATAAGACATCCATATTTCAACTGATATCATCACATTCTAGAAATATTTAAGTGCCTCTGAAATTTCCAGTAGTCTAAGAAGATGGGACATTTATGAAACAAGCATTAATTTTATACATTGGGCTTGCTCTTTAGCTTGTGTAAGTCAGCTTGGCCCATTTATGTTGAGAACTGTCATTGCAGAAGATTACATATATATGTACACATGGATACATAAAAATGTATATATGTAAATAATATGTGTCTACAACATTCTTCTCAAAGTCTTCTTAAGTGTAAGGCACAAAAGAAAACTGGAATAACTTTGCTTCTTTAGTTCATCAAATTTTCTACTTTTCTGTGGTATGTTTGAAATTGTCCTTTCAAATCTGATCTTTCAACTGATATATATGTTCAGCTAATGAAAATTACTTCCTAAGTAAAAGAAAACAGTGGCTCCCTGACAGCTGGATTCCTCAGCACTCCTCACTCCTTCACTGCAACTAAAGGAATTTCTAATTTTTTCCAGACTTAAAATATCAGCTCTGCAGCATAAAAGAGGTTTCATTTCTCATCTAATGGTGAAGCTTTTTTTCCCAATTATTACAGTTAATTCTGTTATGTCAGGGAGTTGGGTTTTTTTTTAAGTTCTATTGTGTTACAACTCTAGAAAATGTGAATGAGTAGATATTTTTGGTATTTCTTGTATAGCTATTCTCACCTTTTCAGTTTAACAGACTTAATGTTCATTATTCTGTTCCTTTATACTCCTCTTTGATTGCAGTTTCAATTAGCCTTTCTGAACAAAACCAGATACTAGATATTATGTAGAATTATAAGAATGTTGCATGTTTTTATTACAGAAGTAGACTGAGATAAAGAACTGACTGCTGCACACAGACTCTGTTGCATTCATTCCTCTGCAGAGATCAGATGCAGCTCTGTTGAGATTCTAAATACACAACTCAAATACTGGCAATTCTGTGTCCTGAGACACAGTTCTGGCCTCAGTTCTGCCTGGGAGTTACTCCTCAACTTCTCTGAGGGTCTTGATGTGAGTTGTACATGAGAAAAGAATAACTTGATCAACTTCCCCAGAATAAGCAGAAAAACAAGGGCCAGAACCCAGCCCTTAAGTGACAAAGTGACCTAAGACACCAGAGCCTTTGTCAAAGTAAGGAAATGCAGTTAGGTTACAGATACTTCTGTTTCTGGCTACCCTATCAGAATGGAGTTTTCCTTTATGATTTCATTATAAAATGCTTTTATTAAGATTCACAAAGTGCAAAGATGTTCAGATTCCACCATAAGCTGTTTTCTTGACTAAAAATCAAATGTAGTCCCAAATTTTACAGGTCTGCTTAGCCCCACAGATGTAGTGCAGGAGGCCATGCCACTGTAAATGTTGTTAGAGTGGCTGAGGCCAGCAGTTTGTCTGAGCACAATGCCAGGACTCTAATCCTGGGTTCTGCCACTTTAAAAAAAGAGGCATGCCCTCACAGTTGCTAAAATCATTCTGTTGTATTAATAGGATGAAACTGAATTGTAAAATGAGGTGCATTTTTGGCTGGAAAGAAGCTTTTTGTTTATAAAGTGATGAAGTTGTGTGTGTTTTCAATGATTTGAAGATCTGTTGAGAATAGAGAAGAAAAAGATTTTTGAAGTTCCTTAGATGTCAGACCTTTGGACTCCTTTTCCAAGAAATGCAGAAAGAGATGGAGGAAAAAACCTGATGTTAGAGTAATTCATTTCCAGATTGCACTGCAGTTAAACAGTACTGAATTATCTCAGGAATTTAATAGGTGAGGTGCCAGTAAACTTCTTGAGCATCTGGTGATTTGCCCAGTATGAGTAAAAGAAAAAGAAAGGAAATGGTTTTTGAAAAACCAGAAAGCCTGGTAAACAATTCTGCATCAACTTCACGTGCAGCAAAGAAATTGCCAGAGTTTTTCCTGTACTATCTACAGGACTTGGGTTTTGTTCTTTCTTTTCTTTTTTCTTTTCTTTGTTTTCCTTTTTTAAACTTTTTTAAAGTATCTGGGAGAGGAGGGAGGACTTTTGTGTATACCTCATCTAAACTCAGTTAGCTCATCCTGAATTCCTATCTGACTTTCAGTGAATTCAGCTACAGAGCTCAGGTTTTCTCTGCTTCATGATACCAAGAGTTATGACCAAAGACCTTTTTCTTCCTACCAAAATGTAGATAAAGATTCCTTACTAGGCCTAGTCCTGGTAATGCACTTTAAACTTCACATATAAAGACACAGGGTTACAGTAATTTTTTTATTCTCAGAAAAGCAGGGGATCCAAGGAGTAATAAGGGTCTCAGAATTGAGAGTCTTATTCAAACACACAGAATTATGACTCTAATTCTAGTTTTATGAATTTTCTGTGCAAACTATATCTTGGTTCATAGAATGATAGAATATCCTGAGTTGGAAGGGAACCACAAGGGTCACTGAGTCCAGCTCCTGGCTCTGAACAGAACAGCCCCAAGAGTTACACCCTGTGCCTGAGAGCATTGTCCAAATGCTTCCTGAGCTCTGGCACTCTTGGTGCTGTGACCATTTCCCTTGGGAGATTGTTTCATATTGCTGCAAGTAAAATCCTTTGTTAGAAAATGAGCCAGAAAGTAAATATTCAAGCAGTTGAAACACAGCTGAAATTCATTTGCCTAAAATTGAAATGAATGTTCATTTAGTATTTTTTTCAGTGTTTGCCCAGCTGCAATTAACAATACTTAGTTCTTGTGTAGTGATTTTTATGCATAGAGTACTTTACAGCTATTATCTAATTAATTGCTATCTAATTAATCCAAGTAATTAGTATTGAACTGTAGCTAGAATATTAATTGAGATGCAAAGCAAACTTAAAGTGCAGCATTTGAAACACTATTTTTGAGACAGAGAATGGTTTGGCCAACAATCATGAAAAGTCCATCTGATTTTCTCTTTGTAATATTTTTGTACAAAAGAGCAACAACATATAATAATAAGAAAAAGGTTAAAAAAATCTTGAAAAACTAAAATAGATAGCTAATTTGGTTTCTGCTTTGTCTGCTCCACATGCCTTAATCAAATATTCTTCTTCTCTCCTCTCTTACCTTCCATACAAACAGAATTTGCTTACTAACAAATATGGAATTTGCTTACTAACAAATATGCCCACAAGGGACAATTTACACTTTATATGTCCATGCTGGAAGTGTCCCTTTGCTGAGTACAGCAACTACTCTTTTTTGACATTGATTTTTAAATTTCATTTCTGTTGAATTATTAATAATTTGGATCAAGGTGATAGCAAAGACAATCGATTTTTTTATCTTGCGCATCCTGCAAGGTCTGGATTCTTGCTTAATAAGATCTTGTCCGCCAGGTTTTTAATTTAATTGGAAGGCATTTTATACCTGGATATAAAGGGCAAATTATCTCAGGCATTTTAACACCAGTTGTTTATATTTGAAGGTCAAATACTGGAAAATAATTATTTTCAGCTGGGATTCAGTGTTTTATATGTCTTTAAGAGTTATCTGAACAGATCTGTAGTTGGGTCACCAATATCTTTGACAAGTATCTTTGGCCTTTGGTCATGGTGGCTCATGGTTTCATTCACCCATTAAAAGTACTAATATAGTGCTAATGCTTATGTTAATGTTACAGGTAACTGTTCATGAAATACTTACCAATTCTATAGAAGAGATGATGACAAATGGTGATGATCAGCCACAGAGTGTCCTGATGGGGATATGTAATAGCTGAAAGTGGAGGAATACTTTTGTGGCTACCAAGACCATGGTCTTACCTCTCTGGTTTCTGCTTAGAGTGGGAGAACATAAGTTAAATGTGAAAAGAAGAGCCCTGTGGTTCTCACAGATGAGAGGCAAAACTGTCTGGCCCACCCCTGGGTATATGCAGGAGAAAAGTGACTCTTTTCTGTCTTACATCATTGGACCAGATTCATCCCAATGGGACACACCAGCTGTGCAGGACAGTGAGGAGTTACTGCAGTTCCTTAGTAAGATCCTCTCACCTAAGAGTTCATGTGGACAGTGTGATGAGTAACACTCACAGAAGGCTTTCTTTAGAATCAGAGGGGAAAAAAAAGATACATTTAAGACATGACTCACTAGATTTGATTTAGCGTAACAGGATCCACATTATCGGGACTACATGGAGGACACAGAGTTGTTGAGACAAGCAGGGGTTTGAAAAGTCAGTAGAACAGGGCATTGTCCCAGGATTTAAGGATTTGGTTCCTCACACAGCAATTTGGACTTCCAGTGAACTTCTGAAGACAATACTTTGAAACAAAGATGATGGCGTGACAGATGAGTAATGAGATGGTTGACTCTCACAATTAAGAGACAAATATTATGTATATATGTTAAGAGAAGTTTTATAGACTTATAGTTATGTTTTACCCCCCCTTGCATTGTTATCAGTGGGTGGCCTGGGTTTGGGACATTTGGGAGGGTCAGCTTGTTGCTATGGCAACAAGCAACTGACCTCCAATCAAGATTTAAGGAAGTGAACTCCACCACTGGATAGTGAAGAAGGAGTCGATGGACAGAACTTTGGGTGGGGCTAAAGGGTTAAAAGGTGGAACATCCAATGGGGGAAAGATCCTCCGCCCCCAGAGCCGTAATATTTTCTCTATTCAGTCTTCTGTTGTATTTTTGATAAGGTTTTAATAAACCTTTTAAATTTTTTTGGAAGTGAATATAATTTCTCACAATATCATAATTAATTAATTTTGTGTTATATACATAACCAAATACTGAATTGCTTGCCTTGTATTGAATGATTTAGATATTTCAGGATTTCTTCCTTCTGACAATTAAAGACTAATACTAATCACAACTGGACTTAAAAGCCTTTTGCACTGAAAAGGAATAAGAAAAGTGATGTATGAGGATCATTTGCATTCTGTCAACCATATTGGTTTAAATCCCAAATAAATTTAAAAATAGAGACTATGAGTGATAGAATTATCTTTTGCTGTCTGTCACAAAAAACTTAGATTCCCTGACATATTTAATTATAGACTGCCGTAGATGGGCTGATAAATAATAAAATGTTTCCCTTTTTGTTTTCCTAGTGTCCCAGTAAAACATTTGGAGGTTTTGATTCCACCAAGGACCTTCCTGATGAAGTTATCACATTTGCCAGAAGCCATCCTGCCATGTACAACCCAGTATTCCCCATCAACAACCGTCCCATCATGATCAAAACAGACGTGGATTACCAGTTCACACAGATCGTGGTGGATCGGGTAGATGCAGAAGATGGCCAGTATGATGTGATGTTCATTGGCACAGGTGAGAGGTCTTGAATCTACACTGTTATCCTCCTCCAGGATTGATGGAAACCTACAGCAGATAAAAATTCATACTCTGAAAGACAGAGCATTGACTGAAGAACAGTGTAAACATGTGAAAATTTGGGGCAGGACCCAAAACTGTGCATGTGGGGAGGTCTTTGTTACAAGCATCCAGTGTTACAGGTTCAGGCCATAGCCTGCACAGCTTAATTCTGTAGGAGCTTTGCCAACTGGACTAAGATCAAACCACCCTCTTTCCAGCTACTGCTTTTAGGGGTTTTTATTAGAAATGTCTTGCCTTATTTATTATAATTTAGTATTAAAATGAGGGGTTTGAGGTACCCATTTTGAAGTGCAGCTTAAAAAGTATTAACGTGAATGAGGCAAATATCCAGGTATGGTAAAAGTGTTTTGTGCCTTTCAACTATTTCAAGTATTGCCTTAAGATGCTCAGCCCTTCAGCCAAGAGGTTGTATCATTTTACTTAAGATGAAGATATCTGGCACAAATGGAGTGTTTCAGAAGAGCTGGTATTCAAATAGAAAGATGATATCCTTTCCAAAGCATTTGCAGAATCATACAGCTTTGGGCATCTTAGAGAAGTGCAAATAAGCACTCAGAAAAGACATTTTTTCCAGAAAGGTAATAATGAGAAAGAGTGTCCAAAAATTAGCTGATAGGCATTTTCCCAAATTCAGTGGTTTCAAAACTCTGCTGAGTAGCAATTGGATCTTGTGAATCTGTTTCTTCATCTGCAAAAGTTTTACATTAGTTGGCTGGTGCTTCAGTTATGTTGAATAAAAGTATTTTAAACTTCTACTGAACATAATTACTAGTAATTAGACATTGGCATCGTGAAGCCAAACCAAATCAAACCAAAACCCTACTGCTTCTTTTCAGTGTTGGACCAAAAAATACCTCTGTGTCTGTCTTATAGCAGTCCAAATTTACATACTTTAAATACAGTTCTGGTACTCTAAACCTGGAGTCAGATTTCCAAAGCAATAAATGTAAGATCTCTTTCATGTTGATGCCTGAAATGTATTATGAGTAAACTGAGAGCTGGTGAAGTTTTGTGTACCAAACACAGTGCAAGTATAACAATTCAGAACATTTACTGCAGGAAACACAGCTCTGCAGGAAGGGTTAAAGCACTTCAAAGCTGTAAACTGAATTATTAGATACCAGTGCTACAGTATGTTCTTGCATAAAACATTGACAAGTATTTTCATATGATTTTACACAACATATAGATTTTCCATCACACATTAGAGACTTCAATGTCATCCACAATTCACAGTGTTTGGTGCCTTTCAACAAGTCCTCTATGACCTGATTTGGCCCACAAAAAACAAATTAGTCACATATATGGTATGATGCTGAACAAACATAAGGAACTTATTTATTTCTTGAGAAAAAGAGGTGGCATTTAACTCTCCAAATCTTGGCCGGTGGGCTAAGAAAGATGTATTTATTTCTGCAAGGGAAAGCAAAAAGTTCTTCCAGAGATTCACTGTACTTTCCTCAAGACTGCTGTTAGAGTTAGATGAAAAGACAGAAGTTCCTGTCTGTTTCAGGCAGTGCAGGAAGATTTGCTTAAAACTGAGCTAGTTATCATTGCAGACAGTGGCTATTTAGTTATTATGTCTAGAAGTTCTTAGGTAAATCAGTCAGGCAAGATCTCCCTCTAAAAGAACCTAAATGATAATTTTTACCTTTGAGTTTAGGGTTTTCCTACACCACTAATATTCAGATGTGAGGTAAATGCTCAGGATTCCATCCAGTGCTGGTGATAGCCCTGCCCACAAACTATAAGAAAACTGTTGAAACGTTATTACTTGCACTTTCCAAAAGATATTTCAGCACTAAAATCCTGTCTTTTTAAGTGCAGAGTGTTTTTATTTTTTGAAATACTACTTTTGCCCGTAGAAACCATTTTTCTTCCAGCAGGAGGTCATACCCTCGTGGGACAAAATCAGGCATTGCAACACCCATGCCTGGAGCTGGAGCACAGAAGCTGCTTCATGTTCCTCTGAGCTCACTGTCCTTATTGTGGTTTCCAGAATCAGGAAAAGGTGTCTTCCACGTGGAGGGGGAGGCAAAGAGGCAGCACTGAGCCCTGCCTGCCTTCTGCCAGAGAGCTGTCCTGAGCCAGCTGCTCAGGGTCAGAGGAATCACAAACAGATACACAATCAGCATGTATTACTTCTTCCCAAGCAAAGAACTAACTGGGAAGCAGATTAGGGACTTTAGTCACAGTCCATTTTCCCACTTGGTGATCTGAATCTATGACAAAGCCAGAATTATGCTCCCTGGGGTATGGCTGGGTTTTTCTGTGCAGGTCTGTCCCATCAGATTAGATAATATTTCTCTGTATTTTCCCATTGCTGTTAGAGCAATCTACACTATTCCCATGTGCTGCTGAACTGCACTATGTTGAAGAAATAGGTTTTTTTTCCTTTTCACTGAATAACTGATGATAATTGAACACAACATAATTAATAGCCATCCAGTGTGGTCACATTTTCCGTTCCTGTGGGGGAAATCTTGAGCTGAGCAGTTTCTTTCCCACTCTGATTGTACCAGTGTGTTTCACAATGAAAATAAAATCCTATCAGTGTGCTTGAAAGTAATCAGAAAAAACAGGATTTCATGCATATCCTGATGGTCTAATGTTTGGCATCCTTTGGCACAGTTAAAGTACCTCTGTCAGTAAAGCCAATTAATAACAGTAATCTTATCTTTCTAAGCAGAGCCTATTGATCCTAAAGGAGACGCCTGATTCTGTTTGTGTGAAATTGTTTGAAATGCTACTCTGTAAAACTTGATGTAGAAGTCAGATAAAGCTCCACTTTGGTACCTATGGCCTGACCAGAGTCTCCACAGTGATTAACTCAGTGTATCTTTGACCTCAGAGGCTTTCTTGAGATCAGGCAACTGTAATTGTTGCAGGAGCCACTTAAAAGTCTGACCTTTTGTTGAAACAACATTATGGGAAACTTGTGTCTGCTCAATGCCCACTCAGTCTGTTTTATGAAAAATCTCCCTTTATTTCTAGGATATAGCATTTAATGGGCTGGGACTGAGGACAGTCCTAGTCCAGCACTGAATAGAGTTGTGACACTTTGCTACACTGTTATGTTTATTATGTCAGAGTTCCCTGTTCTTCACCCATAAAATGTATTTTCCTCAAAACCACAGTCATCATATTACCAGGATAATTAAGGAAATTAACTCATCAATTAAATTACAAATATAACTACTGTTAGGTTTTCTGTTATTCTGAATTACTCTGCAGTAGAAATGTGGATTTTTTCTTATTATTTTAAAGTTTATAATGTATTTGTTCTGAAACATTCTCAATATTTCTTGTTCTAAATATAGTCAATCAGTCGCAGTGATCATAATGAAACCAATCCAAACTCATCTAGTATATTTTAGTAGCAGAATTTGAACATGTAGATGCCTAAATAAAAAGAAAGATGTGCTTTGCTTTGTTGTTGCTTTAAGAAATAACTAATACTTTGTGTTTTTAAAAGAATATATTAATTTTTGGCTAATGAAAGAAAACAGTAATGTACATATTCCAGGGGAAAAGAAATTGCATCTTTCTAAAATTCCAAAAATATGTATCTAGCAACCAACATCTGCTTAAAGGGAAGCAGATGGAAAAAATGAAAAATCTCAGTTCTACAGGATATTCCAGGTTTTCTAGAATACTTAAATACAAAACCATGTAAAGTTAAGTACCAGTATTTTCTTTTTGATTCAATAGCTTTCAAGTCCGTTGCCCTATAAAAACATTTCTAATGCATGTGATTTCTTTGTCTCAGTTTTACGTGCATTTTAGATATAGAAGTAGAGTTGTCATCTTTTTATTCAGAAATTTCAGCTAACACCCACAAACTATATATACTTATAAAATGTATATATATATATGCTTTTGTGTAATTGATGGTTAAATTCTTGTTTTAAGAATGTCAACCTTTATAGTTATTTAAGAATTTTATCCACTTAAAATGCCTTGTGTTTTCCTAAACCATTAAAGCTGTAGGATGTGCAACATGAAGAGTCCTTAGGGACATAGTTATTCTACCTGTGATACATTTACATGGCACTACACTTGGCTGGTTAAAAAGAAAAGTCGCATACAGATTGTTTCCATTTCAGAGAGTCTGCAGTGATGTGTGCCAACCTAGAAATGGTTCTTTGTGTTTTTGTTGTTTCCTGGAAATTGTGCTCGTAGAAACAAAGAAATAAATTACAGATGCAGAAGCTGAATAACAGAGATGGTCTTTAGTCTCAACCATGTTCACAAAACCAAAGGCTGTGGCTCTGGAATTTCACGTGCTGGCCTTGTTGATTTTAAAGCTTGTTGCAAAACTCAAAAAATGTAATTTGATATAATACTAAAATGCTGGCACACACCTATTTCTAAACCAAAGGCACACATTGTATGCTTTTCACCCCTCAGTGAAGAACCAGCATCTTACACACAGAGAAATAGAGATGCCTTAAGGGGCTTATACATCTTAGGTACTTTGTTTGACACAGGGAAGATCGCAGGTACTTAAGAGACCTAACAGCTTCATCTGTCTGAGAACGTTTGTCCAGATGGTTTTATAGCCATACTGCAGTATCTTCACATGCATTTTAAGAAAGAAAAACATCATATTCAAAATGGACTATAAAACACACCTGGGTAAATTTAGAGCATTTCCTTCCCCAGTCATGAATCTGTCATTTTATATTGTCACCTAAATAGTATTTCAGTCCTGTCTATTCCTTAATAACTATAATAGTATTTATTTTCTTTGATGCATTTTGATAATTCAAATACTTAAATGTTCTACTGAAATACGTTGTTTTCTGAGGTTATTTTAAATAGCAGTTATTTTGAATGAGTGCTGAGAGATATGTAGCTTCATAGTCTTTATATGTGAAATAATTATATACTACAAGAAATTCTGGCTGCTACAAAGCAGAAGTATTCATCTTAAGCACCTGAAAACACTTTTTTTTCCCCCCTTTTCAAGATATTGGAACGGTTCTTAAAGTGGTTTCAATTCCTAAGGAGACTTGGCACGAATTAGAGGAAGTCTTGCTGGAAGAAATGACAGTCTTTCGGGTAAGTGCAGCTAAATTTCAAGTGTCAGGTTGTAGATTTCTCTGTGGACAGCTGCAAACTCAACTACTTGCAGTCTAGCCAAGGAATAGCCTGGCATACCCCTCTAATTAGCTTGTCATTTAGAGAGCCCGACACCAGTCAAAATAAATCTTGAAAGTTTCAGTGCGAGCTGGAGGTTAATGATAAAAGAAATAGCATTCTGGGGTCTTGTTCCATGGTTTAAAAAGTAAATTAGTATTTCTGAATCTTAGAGCTGTTGCATGCTGGAGTTGAATATCTACCTGTGTGGGTCTGGGAACAGTGCCTGTCTGTTTTCTCCCACAGTGATATGCAATATATGAATTTATAATTGCATCAATTCTCAAAAATATTCAGACTATCAGCATATTGTAACTAGGAACTACTTTAGGTAAAACAGTGATCTGTCCACATTTCTTATGCTTAATAATCTGAGGAACAAAGTGTTTATATTTTCAAAGGTCACTTTGGGGTCTCATTTTCGTGGTCTGACACAAGGCACCATAAAGACCTCCTAACTCTAACACTTTTTGGTGAAATCAATCTTCTCCATTTTTCCCGTTTGAGCCACGTAAAAAATACAGCATCCCATAGGCAGCCCTACAAGGAAGGGCTGAGTAAACCTTTCAAACACTTCCCAGACAGAACCCAGGGATGTCTCGTGTTTTGTACACAACAAGGAATCATTTACATTCCCCACGTTACTCTTCCTGTCAATGCCTTTTTATGGCACCACTTCCCCATCTCCAGGCAGCTGGGGCTTGTCCCTGGCTGGGAGCACAGTGTGAAGATGCTGCTGGCATGCTCCAGGAGCCTCCTGTGCTGATAGGGACTGTGCCCCGGCCCTGCCACCACGTCCTCATCAAACTCTGTTGCCATCCCTTCACCTTTTTCTGAGCAGAGACAATCTTGTCTCTATCAGCCATCTAGCTGAACAGAGCTTCTTGTGGGCATTCCTGCTGTTACTGGTACCAGTCAGGCTCAGAAACCTCTGTTCTGAGTGCAAGATACCACTGCAAAATATGTGTCCCTGTTCTTGCAATCCATGGGGTTTTTTGAGGACAGAAATCTAGGGTGCTTTTTTTTTTCCCTTCTTAACATAGAAACTATGAGAAGAAAATGAGACAAGATTTTTTTTTTCCTTTTTGTACATGCAAAAGTCATTACACAAACACAGGGTAATTTGGAAATTGTTTATAAGAATCTCTTCCCTGAAACAGGTAGAAGTGCCAAGCTATAGGAGATCAGAAAAATATAAAAGTGAAAGAAGGAAAATAAATATAATTCATTTCACTTCAGAAAGGTTTTGCAGAAGTAGAATAGGTAATGGCAAATTCAAATTTGAAATTTTACTTTACATGTGTATTTTTTCATTGCATGAAGGTATTTTGGTGTTCTGATTTACTTGAAAGCTCAATTATCTCTTTAGACATGTATTTAAGCCTTAAAGAGGGCATTAATGTATTTCAGTGGAATAAGCAGAATTTGTGTGTATAAGATATGAATCTTTCAATAGGGAATTTCCAACAGATTTTACAAGTGCCTCATCCAAATGTAAGTTTACTTTAGTTGTAAAGAGTATATGTGCATCATGAGCAATGCATTTTGATGTTAAGCTGCAATGTCCTGAGTACAATGCTTTTCATTTAAAATTCCACAGAGCTGAAAGTCTTTCATATCTGTTACATTGATAACAAATGCCTCTTTAAACCCCATTTGTGCAATATTTCTCTGAACAGCTGAGCAAACAAACTAATGAGTTTGTTAGTTTTTCAATTTTCATTCAAATGTTACATTTAATTGATGATTTCTAATATAAGCTCTATTAACCCCTCTGTAAGGGCGAGTCCATGCTTACCATCCACTGACCCATATCAAATTCTCTCAGGATAAGCAAGTTGAAAACTATACAAGTATAAAAGCTTAATAAACACTTTATTAATGTACACAACCAAAGGTATGATGATCAAAAGTATGATCAATAGCAGATTTCCAGATGGAATAAAGTTCATGCAAAATTGAGTTGCACTCTGTCTAATTATGCCACTTTTAAAATTAAAATCCATCCAAGAACCTGGACCTAGAAGTTGTAACAGTTGATTAAATGATGGATATTCCAGAGTGCTAAGAAGCTCTTCCTCATTTTGGTTACATGTTCTGAAAATGCATGTAACTTCTATATAAGTGAATAGTGTGGAGCAGTTAAAAAGATTATACTTGGGATTAAAACTTGTTCTTATGAATAAAATTTCACAGGAATGAGGTTTTCATCTCTATATACTTAAAATGAATTGCTTATTTCAGTGTTATTACCTTAATAAATAGTATCTATGAATTTTCATATAGCCATTATGATTTTCATATTACCTGGGAAGTTCTTGAAATGCAATTTTAGTATGAAGTGTTGGTAAAAAATTCAAGATGTGGAACTAGTGACAAAGTGATCACAATTAAACTCTATTCATAATGGAAATTAAATATCTACAATCAACATAGCAATCAAAGATGCACTCAGATATGTACATGCATTCTAATTCCTCTACAGCTAGAAATTACTCCACTGCAAATGACAACAAGGACTATTACTAGGGAGTTTCTAGTTTAATTTCAGGGGTTTTACCTTATGCAAATAGTATTGTAACAGAATTTTTATGTTTGTAGCTCATTTTAAATTTTAACTCTGTTTTTCCCTAGGAGCCCACGGTTATTTCAGCAATGAAGATTTCCACAAAGCAGGTAATATGTGCACAAATGTTAAATACCTTTCAAATATTTATTGGTCTCTGTCTTCTAGAGACAGTAACTTGGCAGTCAGCAGAGACATATTAATTGCAGCAGCAGCATCCCATCTCTTTACATAAACAGCAGTATTTTCTCAGGAAAATGTGACATGCAATGGGGAAAGGAAAAGCCTAGTATGTGTTACTTACTGACTGGTAAGGTGGAAACTAAATGCAAACTAACCAGCTGTCTGGTGGATCTCTAGGAAAAAAAAAAAGTCCACATTATAGAATGCTTCCATGACAGAGAGACTGTTCAAAAGGAGTGGCCAAACTTGGTGCCTTTCTTCAATGGGACTAGTTCTAGTCACTGCAGAATAGTGGTACAAAATACAGATTGTGGAAGCAAAGGATGGAAATGAGACATCCTCCTGTCTTTCTGTCCTCTGCCCATTCCATTGTGCCATTCAGCTTTAACAAAAGATCAACTGACCTGATGCAGGCCAAATTTTCCATGCCCTTCTGGTTCAGTGATGTGGTTAAGAGACGGGTTTCATGCTCCCAAATTTATATTTCCTACTTTCTCTTGAGTACACTAATAGCTAGCTGCTTATAGAAAAAATATGTGCTATAAAACGAGCCCATAACTAAAATGAATGGAACTTCTTGATGGATAGAGGTAAAGTTTTGTCTGACTTACAGTAAAAGTGATTCCTGCATTTCTAAGCATATTTGTGAAGCAGTTGATAAATTATGTGGTTGTGCAAAGAACATTGGTTTGCAGTCCAGGAATGAAGTGAGTATTAGGGGCCTATCTTCCAGTTTTGCCTGGAATTAGGTGGATGGATCCCAGCCACTGTCATTTCCTGTCTCAGGAGTCTGAGACATAAAATGTGGTGTCAAATTTAACTTTTTTTTTTCTTTTTCATATATGTGCTCTTCTGGAAGCTAATTTGGTAAATATAGGGAACTTCTTTTTGTTCATGTCACTGTCAGGAAAGAGGAGATTTGGTATTACTTTCAGGACTAGGTGCACTAAAAATTGTGCACATTATAAGTGAAATTTAGTTAATTCTACCTCACTCTATACATTATTAAACAGAAGTCAAATTCATTCTGTAATGGACAGAGGCCAATATTATATTTGAAATGCTGCATATTTAACTCTGAATTCACTGTGTTAGGACAGTTGTCTGAAAGCATTCATGTATTTGACAGAAAATGTTTGGGGGGGACACTGTTCTAACAGTTTACCACCTAAATCAGCAAAAATGGCAGCACAAAGAGAAAGATACTATTGAATACTGGGATATTTAAAAACAGACCTGTCAAGTTGTATATATGTCCACATCATACCAAAATGCTCTGATTTCGATTATTTTTATAAGTACATTCCCTTAAAGCAGCCAGTCATATTTGAAAATTGACCAGGCATTTTCATACAGCTTTTCCTCCAAAGCATCTTTAGTTATTCAGGAGAGATTACAATTTTCCCTGAGTTTTCTGAAAACAAATTTACACTGCTAAAATTGTCTGAAGCTAAAAAAGAGCATAAACCACAAGTTATTCAGGCAGAGTAAAACTCATGAAAAATCAACCAGCCTCAGGCTAAAAATGACAGAATCATGATACACTATGACAAGCTTTTGGCAATATGTATGAAATAAGTATATGGCAACATGTTTCCATTTTACATTTATGATTTAAAAATACTGCAGTTCTATAACTCAAACACTTTACTCATTGTGTTCTGATAAGCAGGGTGGTTTTCATGTAAACAGCACGATAATTCTATGCATTGTGGAAAGCCAGAGCATGAAATGTAAATAGTAAAACCAGCATGTTCTATTGAATGCCTTAAAAATAATCACTTCATTTTGTTTTTTCACTAACAAATCTTTCATCCAATTATAAAAACATGGTACAGGGAGTTTCTCCTTATTTCTAAATGTTTTACTACTCTGGTTGTTCAAAGCTACCTCTTTTGCCACCATGCCAATATGTTATGTTACAAATTACTCTTCCTAAAGACCAAAATCTACAAATTCTTCAGGAGCAGAACTTAGATTAGGTTTTAAATTATATTAAGCTCTAAAGCTCCTGTCTCTCTCTGAGTCTGCATTTGGCCCTTGAGCAAGAGTGGCTTATGAGTAAATTTAGCTTTTATGTGCAAGACTAAGCCTTAATACATTCTTTTTCTACTCTGCTGTCTTTAACTCACAGGAATTGTGTCTATATTTTCTCACTGAAGCTACACATTCCTCCTGATTGTGTTCAGAGCCCTAGGCTTGTGTAACCTTATCTCTTAAACAGTTTATGCTTTGTTAGCAATAGACACAAACCTTCAGAGCATCCTTGAGCCACTGCAACACCCTGCAGCTGCTTCAGCTCACAGGGACACATGGTACCTCTTGGCTTTGAGCCTGCCAGGTGAAGCTCCATAATTTTTTCCCTTACAAACATGGAAGCAGGCCAAAAAAGTCCAGCCTGGGTTTCAATCAAAGGTGACTTTTTGCAGAGCAACACCTCACCTTTTTCTCAGGGTCAGCTTTGTGATGCTCCTTCGAAAAAGCTGTTGGATTTCTGGTGACATGGTCAAAGGACAAGATTCTTGGCTGAACAAGTCCTTGTTGGGTCAATTGCTACAAAGAGCTTTGTTTCTCTTGTATAAGATTTTCAAGCAAAAGCAAGGCAGACACCTTCAGAAATATCTTAGTGACTACTTTTATAGTACCAAATACTGAATTTTATTCAATCAGCACTTCTGTCCATAGTGAGCACATAGAAAGGACCAGCTCTAAATGGATATATCACCTAAACAGCATGCTGAACTATTCTGCATTACTTCTCAAGACATTCAATTAACCAAATGGTACTTGAATTTCATGCTCCCTAAAGTTCCTTTAAAGATTCTGCTCAAGTTCTTCCTCTTAAGCATTACATTTTCCACATTCTGTTATCCCTTTGTCTGACTTTTTCTTAGGAGAGGCTACTTTTTTGGGCAGCACTGTGGGGTCAACAGAAACCACTGGATTGCTTAAAATATTAGTCTCCTCAGTTTTTCTTGATTTCTGATACTTGTGCAAGAATCTTTAGAGGACGACTTTTTTCTTTTTTGACTCTGGTTTATCTGATAATCTCAATTCATTAAATTAACAATGTCTTGGAAGAGATGGCTGAAAAGGCAGTTTGACTGTGGTACGGCAAAGGAAGGTCAGACCATTGATGCAAATAATTCTATTTCTATTTTCTGACTTTCATACTGCCTGGATTTTTTATATTGTTAGTGTCCAGAATAATGATCACCAGCTGGAGTCTAAAACCATGATCAGAAGAGCAGCAAACAAGGCAGCAGCCTTAAGGCTGTGCAGCACCTGAAACATATGCTGCAGTTCACTGGCTGAACTATGAACTTATCTACAAGGAATATAGTTTTTAAGTAACCCTATTTTGGCCTCATTTTTTTTTCTTAGGTTTCTGGTCATTCTTTAATTCTAAAGACATTTATTAGAAATCAGGGAGGGGATTTTTGCAAAATAAAATTGCTTACAGAGGTACATAGGAAACCATTACACCATTCTTTATTTTCCCATGTGCATTCTCTGGGTTGATTTTTATATTAGTTGCACCACACGTTCCTACATGCTTATACAGATATTAATGCCCCAATTACACAGGACTCAGATCAATACCATCTGGACATTTAAGATACTTAACTGAAGCTCTAATTTGACCTCTGCTGCCTCCATAATCAGTAAAGAGAAGAGGCTTCCCTTGAGAAGCAGTTAGGTCACCTAAGATTTGAATTGCTGCTCTTTTTACTGCAGGATGTAGCCCTAAGGTGGGTACTTGATTAAGTCCTTTCAGTTAGAGAGAAGCAGCTCATCATGTCTGTTGTGTGTCCTCTCTTCTTAAGGCTACAACTCTGACTGGGATGGTTTTGTACAGTTCAGGCTTTGTGTAAAGCCCTGTGTGGTCAGAGATTTCTGCCTGGAGAATGTGGGTTTACAACCCAGCTATGAAACAATAATAGATGGAAGCAGCTGCTTTGAAAGGGTTTAGTTTTCAATCTGCCAGTGAATTTTCCTTTGGGGGCTTTCCTTGTCATATTTTCCTTGAGAAAATACCGGTGTTTATATAAATGCGCAGGATGTTTCTGTTACAATTAATATGGCTGTATAAACTGCCAAGCTGCTGTCTCTGAAAGAAGTTAACACAACACCTCTTATGGGTGTTTTTGGTGCTGCTATCTCCTGTTACCTGGTCCTCATTATGTCTAGTTGGTAGGTGACCACTGCCATCTTCCATCCCTGAATTTCCTGAAAATGGTGTCTCTGGGACATTGCAATGCAGGAGATGAAGAATTTTGATAACATTTCTTGAAATCCTATTTTTTTCACACCACCTTTATGTTTTCAAAGAAAGAAAAATGAAAATAAATTTGTATTTTCTTCATGGGACTGCTTGGAGTAGGACACTGAAGACAGGCACTCATCTGTCCACTGTGGGTGCTTAGTGTCAAGGTTTGATAGCAAAATGTCAGTGTTTCCAAACCAGAAGGATTATACCCTTGAATTTTTGTGTATCTGTTTATTTAGTGTTCCCCTAGTTTTGCATCCCACTAATACTTGTTTTCTTTGTGAATTTTTCCTAATCTGAAATATCTCTCTTTGGACTTTCACATGGGATCAGAAGTTCAGTTTTCTCATATCCCTCTGGGGCCAGCTTCCCTAGTGGACCACATGAATTTGATATCAGAGAGGAAATTGAGAGAGACAAGATATTCTATTGTGATGCCATGCAAGGCTGTATTTCATTTTGCATGCATGTTTTTTTATTTACTTCTGCATTTGAACTGCATCTTCTACTCAACACTGGTTTTTATCCAAAACAAAACAAAAGCTCTCCTCTCATTAAAGATATGTTCCAGTTAAATCATGACTTATAGAAAAGAGTACAAAATATTGGAATTACCAGGCATGCAAAGAAGTGCATGCATAGCACCACTCCCAAACTGAAATATCATAGCATCAGTCTGAAATAACTTACTTCAGGTTTCCTCCTCACATGCATAAATTGAGGTAACGCTTAGGAAATGTATTTTCTTTTTGGTGTTGATTTTCTTTTTGTTCAAATTCAAAAGCATGTTCTCTGTTGCATTCTGTCACTGACTTTGGGTGTTTTCCCAGTGTGAAGATCTGAATACAAAAGGAAAAATTGAAGAGTAGGTTAATTTTCTTTCTGTTTAGGGTACCCACCAAGGGCTTCATGAAAAAATAAAGTTTTTCCTATTTGATTTTTTTTACCCTCGGGACAATTCTGTTCTCATTCCTTTAGCATACATCAGGATCATGATCCTTTATTGTATTTGAAATGACCCTAACAGATGATGATATAATATTTTTATGCTTTCCTGGAAAAAGAAAATTGTAATTCGCAATATTTTTGAACTTTTTTGGTTTTTTTTCAATTTTTACAACAGCAACAGCTCTACATTGGCTCAGCCACTGGAGTTTCACAGCTTCCTTTACACCGCTGTGATGTGTATGGAAAAGCTTGTGCTGAGTGTTGCCTTGCAAGGGACCCTTACTGTGCCTGGGATGGCTCCTCCTGCTCACGTTACTTCCCCACTGCCAAGAGGTAGGGAGAGTTCTGCATGTCTGCATGGTTTGCTATTTGTTTTGATGGTCTCAATATGACCAGAGGGCTTTGGAGATTTTTTAGGGGATGGTTAACTGGAGTCCTTTCTCTTCCAAAGAAAACATCCTTGTGGCAGCTACATGCAATATGAAGTCTTGGTTGATTTAAAGTGACCACTGCTACTTCTTGGGCAGGCTTAAAAAGCTCCTGTAAGAAAACACTCAGACAAGAGTTGTCTCTGAAATCAGCTCCTAACTTTATAGTCATTGGTAAACAGCAAAAATAAAAAAAATTCATTTTCTCTAACATAATGAGGGAGCTCAAAATCAAAGAAAATCACTACTTGCCCAAGTAAATTATCCTGCATTTTCATGAATTCTGATTCAAGAGAAATACTTCTAAAATATTTGGACGCTGATGGAAACTTATATTTTTTAGTGATATATAACATTATTGTTATTATTCAGAATTATAACTTGTATGTGCTGATGTGTATGGTACTGCTGGATCTGAACAGTCACTGTTCCACAGTCCCTCTTGCACTGATGCTAAAGGCTTTGCAATGCAATCATTGGGGGAAAGCTGACTCCCCAAATCAAAAATAACAGTTTTATTAAAAATTTACAAGTCTAGTTGCCCTGATCTGAAGGTTTAGAGTACTTATTTCTTTGCTTCCCCTTATCTTTGAAACTCCTTCTCTAAAAGTATACAAGCTAGTTACTGAAGAGTTCCTGGCTATTGAAGTAGAAATTAGAAATAACTGAACAGGTAAACATTTGCAAATAGAAGCAGACATTGGTGTAGTTTGAGATTCCATTGATATATTGAGTAAAATGATAAAAAAGTGCTCACATTAAATTGAATATGCCAGACATCTTGCACATATGAAGAAACAAAGAATCCAAGGGTTTATACACATAAGGGTTTATATAAAAGAAATTAATTGTAGCAAATACTTGGTTGAGAGTGCCAGAATTCCAAATTACAGGTTTTGATTGGTTCTTGAGGGAGATGAAATGTGGTAAAGGGTGAGAAGTTGTCACAGACATTTCAGATGGAGGGAATTAAAATTTTGAGGTTTGCATTACAGTGTATCCTAAACAAATACTGATGACAAAAGCTGCTCATGGAACATCAGCTTCTATTTTTGCACCAGGAAACAGAGTTAATAGGAGAAAAGCTTTTTGTGAAATTCTTTAGAAAATAAAGAACCCATCCCAAGAGAAGAGCCAGTCAAATTTTCTCAGCTACATGGGCTAAATTCTTATTTTTGCTGGTAGCATGGCAGTTTCTCTGGAAGAGGAAGGAAAGGAGAGGGAACAGTGGGGTTTTTGAGGAGAGTCTGAAAGGCTGTTTTGTTCTGAAAAGTTCTTTAGTATTAGAAATCAATACGGTTGAGTATTGCCTCTGAGCTCAAGGAGACAGTAAGATCAGGAGTCACTGAATCACTGTTTTCTGCTACTCTCTATCCCTGAACCTCATCTTTTCTCAGCATTCCTAGCACACATTCCTACCCCCAGCCACTCTCAAGATCCATAGAGCACATCATTCCTCTGCTTACACTGGTGGAAGAAATAGGGCTCTTTGTCTTTTCCTTATCTCTCCAACTTACTGCTGCAGATGGAGCTCACCTTGCCATCAGGGGTAAAGTGACTGGGACTTCTTACAGGGATTAACTCGTGGGGTTTCCTGGGGCCAAACTGGGTTGCACAGCTACAGAAAAAACTTGGGATCCAAAACATGCATAAGCAAAAGCTGCTGTCTCTGCCTCTTGCCCCCAGTTTTTCCTTGGCAGCAGCAGCAGCAGCAGAGTAGAGGTCTGTGTTACTGGGAGAGAGGATCCTCTCTTCACCTGGTACCTGCTGTACCTATTGCCTCAAGCCAGCTTGGAATGCATTGATGACAAAATCAGCATTGCTGGAAACAGCTTAAATGTCAACATTTTCCTAATAATAAATTCTTGTCATTTTAGGCTCCAGAAATATTGGGAAAATAGATTCCTGAGGCAATTTTACAGATGTTTTATTCATAGTTGAGTTTAGCGTTTGGGTTTTGTTTGTTTCTTTTTTCTCCTTTTTTTTTCTTTAACTGAGATTTTTTAAGCCATGATTTTATTTGTTTTTCTTTCTTTGTGCATTTTACAAGTCTTAGTGACAGTTCAGAGCTCCTGTAGTGTGACCACTTCACTTTACCCTCTGCAGATGTGTTCTGGCTCATATTTCATAAATCATTGTGTTGATACAGTGGTGACATGTGCAACATTTTCCTGAAATCCCAACTAAACATTTCATTCAAACTCCATTGACAGTAATATGAGTCTTTCCACAGATTTCTTTTTTACAAATTGCATTTATAAATATGCTGTTTTAAAATTTAGGTAGGGGGTAGCAAAATTTTATGGCTCCTTATATCTTGGGTGTGATTTTGTCATTGGTAATGAGTAATATGAAGATATTGGAAATTACGATTCTTACATTTTTTAATCATATATTATTCAGCAGAAGATTCTTTCTTACTAAAATGTGCTAAGACGTCCTAACTAATAATTCAAAAGAAGTTTTTATTTAGAAAAATATATAAAAATGCTCATCTAACTTTTTTTTTTTTTCCCTCAGAAAGAAAGCTTTTGCTGTACTTGGTATAATTAGTTTTAGGTTTAACGCTTCAGTAGCTTTCAGTGGAAAAGAGTATGGTTAAAACCTTTCAGGCAAGAGGACTCAGCTGTGCAGTTGAGCCTCTGTGAGAACTCTTGGTATGAGCTGATGCTGGGCTGTTAGTGGGAGCCTGCAAAGAGGGCTGGTGTGGAGAAGAGACGTGGTCTCTGCAGCAGAACAATGGCTTTTAAAAATGTGGGCTGCTGTCACAAGGGAGGGACCAACAAGGCTTTTTACAAGGCTACTTGACTTTTGCATATCCGTTGCTGGATACCATAATCTGAAATCACAGCATTGTTCAGCAGCCTAATCCTCTTTGTTCTCCTCTAATTTTGCAAGCCCTCAGGCTTTCTCCGATTCCTAAAGTAAAGTACTCACACTTGAAACACATCTTTGTTTGCCTGGTTCTTTTTTTCTTTCTTTTTCATATGAAGCGCTTTTCTTTGGCTCAGTTGAATTTTGTGTCACAGCTATTTAAACAAAACTAGGAGCAGACAAAGACAAAAAAACACATGCAAAACAAAACTGTATTAAAAAGCTCTTTTCAATGAAACACAACATTTTTTTTTAGCACAGATCAACATGTTTTTCAAAAGAGCCAGTAGAATTCAAACTGGGAGAAGAGTTAAAAAGACATTCAATCAAAGGTAGAATTCAGACTCAAGCTACAAAAGAATATAAAAAAATAAATGGCATTTCAAAATCTTTCTTTTCAAGTTTTTATTTTGTTTTTTTCTGAAGACAATTTAGAACAGTTTTGTAAAAGGTTTTATCAGAAATGTTTTGGTGAAACCCATGGTAGCTGAAATGATCTGTGCTTTTTAATTTAAATTGTGTAGAAAATACAGCACTTTACCATTCTTTCAAAGGCACCCATCTTAACATTTAATCTATCTAAAAGATGCTGCAATACTGAAAGTATTCTGTACTTGGCACAAATGAGTACTTCTGAAGCATGCTAAACCCTACGGTATATATTCTAATGCTTCAGCAGTCCCTCTATCTGTGAATCGAGTAATGAATTTATGTATGACCAGTATTGCCCACACAGTTAAAATAAACTTCATATTTTATTTGATTTGGTATTTATTTAATACTAATAATTAGCATTGAACATTATTTATTTATTTAGTATCTCCGTGCCAGAGGTATGTATTTACCAGTGTCTGAAGACTTCACCTGTAAGAATAAAGCCTGAGCCTACAAAATGATAATGCACAGAATGTAGTAGTAACAATATGATTTCCCTCCTAATGTTGTTTAGGTGCACTTGTGGCCTCTGTAATTATAGAAATGTTCCATTTGTTGCTGTTGAGCACTGGGAAGGGCACTAACAGATTTCAAATGTGATCTTTGCAGGCGCACCAGACGACAAGACATCCGAAACGGGGACCCGCTCACCCACTGCTCAGACCTGCAGCATCACAGTGAGTTATGGGCAGCACTCAAGTGCAGCTCATTTGTATGTAATTTACAGACTCTGCACAGAGTAGGATAGGAAGCATGTGAATGATTTGTTGGTGACAATTGTCTGGAACATCTGCAAAAGATGAATATAATACATCATTAGCCCAATTTAGATAGCTTACAATGGCCTGGATCAGACACTGAAGTCTATTTGGGTTTGGTTTTTTGTTTTTTTTTTTTTTTTTTTTTAGTTTTCCTCAAATAAACAGTTTAAGCATTTTAATTTTCCTGCTTCTCTTCCCTGATAATACCGTGCCATCACATTAGGCATATTATATCAGAAAAGAATTGTATTTTCTTCATGACATCAAGAAAATGTCCACGTTGCTGTACATAGTTCACATAAGATGATAATAGCAAAATCAAATTACAAACCAAATGTGTTTGTAACTATCATGGCAAAATATGGAGTGACCTTTGTTGTAAGTGTCACACTAAAAGCTCTGAAGATTGGGATGTTCTTGCAGCAGGCATATCCCCATGTGCTTTCAGCATGGGTTTTCTTAGATGTATTTTGGTTTGCTTTTTTTTTGTCAGCTGTTTCATTTTCACAGTGTATTGATCAGCTTCCTTTTCTGACTCGTTTGACTGACAAACTTCTCACAGTTACTGATTTGTTGCCAAACTTTTCAGAAGACCTTCACTCAGAAAATTAAAAATGTCCATTTTGCTGTAAGGGAAGGGAATACTTAGGCAATGCTTCCCTCTGCTGGAAAAAAAGTGATTCCTCATGATTGTGGCACATCTACAGGAACTTTTCACACAGAATATTCTGAGTTTGAAGGGACCCATTGAGTCCAGCTCTTAACTGAATGAGCCATACAGAGATCCTCAAGCCCTCAACCATGGTGTTATTAGCACCATGCTCTAACCAACTGGCCTAATCTCAGGGTTAAACCACTGGGAAAACAAGGAGGTGACTGATAAACATTGATTTTAATACCAGCAGGAGCATTTCTTAGCTTTACATTTTTACTCTCTGTGCAAAACTATGAACTGGTCTACTACCACAGGTCTGTTCATTTTAATGTTCCATAGCCTTTGCTAGCTGTGCTTTATACAACTGTAGGTCTGTTCTTTATTTTCATAGATGCAAAAAGCATTTCAAAACACTTTGGGTTTATGTCTTCCCATATTTGGTAAGCATATTTGTCTGAAAAAGGTACTTTCTGTCCAAAGAGAAGAGAGCATTCCAGTTTCACAGTAATCCAGAAATGCAGATTTTTCACTGATACAGTCATAAGAACTCAAGGTCTGGACAAAGTTATATGGTACACCTGACCAAAATGAGTTCTAGTACAGCTTTGCCAAAATGAGCAGAGCAAATATGAAACAAGATAAGACAGCATTAGAAGGATCAGTAAGTTACAAAAATTAGCGAGGGAATGCAGTTCTGGATCCTAGATGTGAAGGATACACAATCATAATACTTAATGAATGTTTTAGATTGGTGTTAAAAGAAATTTTCTCTAAATCACTTGAGTTGTAAATCTATTACATCTATATTTACTTGTCATTTACACATGATCATACATGGTACAGATGACTTCATGACCTATACATTTCCTATGCCAACTTATGCTGAGTTTTTCATTTGTTTTTGACCAATAGTTCCCTGTACAACAGATGAAGAATTGGTTTTGTCTATAGACAAAAAAAAAGCTTAAAATTCATTTCTTTCACTACTTGTCTACAGATTCATTTACAGGAAGTGCCAATTGATTCCCCGTATGAACCAACAAACCCACAAAAAGAGAATATTGTCTTAGTGTATATCTTTTAAGGACATTGCAGAAACCAACTTTGCAATCAGTCTGAAGCAATAATATTTATAATCAGGTTTATGTAGTGTTTTCAGCTGCTCTTTGGTGCAAATGTATAAGAAGTATAAAATGACTGCACAGCAACATTAGAGAGAGCTAAGGATCCTTCACTGTACAGCTGTTTGCCCAGACATTAATGTTTAAATCTAAAAGTGTGGTCACCTTTGTGGCAGCTAAAGGAGAATGTTACATAGTGTAAGATACTAGAGGTATCAAGAAACAATAAAGTTTGGGGTTTTCTGAAGAAGAACTTGTTAAAGAAGAGGTGTTTTTTTTTAACATGATTTACCCCAGGGGAAGTTCAAAGAATCACTCTGAATTAAACTGTATTGTGAGATTCATTCATCTGCAGAGCAATCTTGGTACAAGTACTTAGCCTTTCATACTTCTTCAGTTATGTTACAAATTATGTACTTAAAGGATATTTATCAGGGCAGTAAACTGATACTGCTGTTGGGTTCATTTTGGGAATTACTGCTTTCAGGCAGGATTTTGGGCTGAATTTCATTACCAGCTTCATGACTTCTATAATTTTCTAATTCCTCCAGCTGCTTTTCTGAACTTCTTAGACTTTCATTCTTCCATCCAGTCTCTTCAGCATCTCAGTCCCAAAGCTGCACTCTGATCCTGTGATTATTCCATCATTGCTTACTTTCTTGCACTCCGTGTGCTTAATATTGCATGAAGTTTATAGACATTTCTGGACCTGCCTTCTGCTCCTTCAAAACATGGAAATGGAAATTGAAGGCTCTCTAAAAGGCTTCCTCTCTCATTGTGTGTCTGTCACCCATATTGTGTTTTCTGTAGCTGTGAAGAAATGTAAAGAGGACTTTGCCCACTTCCCATGGTGTTCTCTAACACACTAGAATGTCATAGACCAGATCCAAGGAAACAGAAATTTGAAATGGTGCCAGAGTGCACATTTTCTAATAAAACTCATTACTAGATTCTTAGATACTAAGAACATTCTAAGTACCTAAGTTTTCCAGCATAAGCTTCTCTATATATTTAAAAATATGCTGCTACTCATGGGCCATAGGACTTTTACCAAAGAAATACCTGGTTTTGTCCTTTTTACCAATATTTATGAACTTTTTAGAAAACTGCCTCCCCTGGATCTAATGAGAACAGTGTAACATGTGCTCTGCCTCTGTGTAATGTGAACTAAGCCACGTTCAGGAAAATATAATGAAATGAACCTGCAAGCCCCCTAATGAGTAATCTGCTGGAGGATCTTTCAGGATGCTGGAGATGAGGACCCACATTCACTTAGGCTTAGAAATTTGACTTGATATTCCTACTTCTAATACAAATACCCAAACTATTGGATTGCTGGATTGCTGTTGTTTAAGATGGGAGCCTGGGAGAGGAATTGAGACAGAGCGTGGATCCTAGGGTGAAATCCCTGTGTTTCCATTCTTTATTATGGAAGTCTGTAAATCACTGTTTCCCAGAAACACATCACTGGAGCAGTAACATATGTGTCCCAGGCTATAAAAGGGGATATTGTCTACTGTCTTATGCTGAAGGCCTGTATGTGCTGTCTGTTGTGGATCCCAGTTCAGATATCAAACAGCTTTTCTCTGCATGAGGATATCTGGCTGCCTGCTCAGTCATGTGAATTTTGTTCCTTAAGTAGAGCATCTGGCTTGAAACAGAAGAGTTCAGTACATCAGCCATTCACAGTGTTAAATCTGGACCCATCAGTTACCATTTCCAATCTTTATCTTATCACTTCTAACTTTATTCAGTCAATCTCTTCACATACTTCAGTTCTTCTGTTTCAATAACACAAACTCACCTGTGCTCCATCCACCTCACCACCTTGGCTATATTCTATTACAACTATTTTACCTTTCTCTTGCTCCTTTGTTTTCTAATTCATGCCTTCACTGCTCCCTATCTTCCTGACCCACAGCTGTACTGATATTCTTCACAGGAATATGGTTTATGAGAAATGTCATAAAAGTTGTTTCACTCAGTTTTTAATAGAACACCCCACTCACTTGGTTAAAAGGTCCACAATCCAGCAGAGGAGGGCAAGCAAACCCATTTCCTATTTGTTTAGTGTTAATAGGCCATTTGGTGTTTTATGAGAACTGGGCAAGCACCATTCTGCTCCACATCCCTTTTGCCATCCTCTCCCAGGGCTGAAAGTCATTATTGAAAGTCACATGTAATTCTGTATCAGCATAAGTCAGGAGCTCAATTTTATTTTTACCTTTGTCACAGCCATCTAACAAACAGCCTGTGTTTGCTAAACAACATGGCCAGTAGGAGAAAGGCACAGTTGGGAGCTAACAAAACTGGACAAAGGATTTCTCTTTAAATAGTGTTTTAAATAGACATAATTTTCCTTTTAAAGCATATCAAAACAGTGCTAAAAATGTGAAAAACTTTTCAAACGTGAAAAATTGAAAGAAAGACAAAGAATGGCAAGGAGTCAGGAAACCCCATGAGATCAACACAGTGTTCAACAGCCTACCCACCCCTTCCTCCTCATCCACTCTTCAGGATTATTGTTCTGTTGTCACTTAAGTCCACACCAGCATTTCAAAGAGTTAAGGTGGACAGTTGAAACATGATGCCTGAAAGCTTCTGTGGTATTGGAGAAGAATCAAATACCATATTAGTCCTATAGCTATGTGATATTTCCAGCAAGTTGATGAATATCTTGAAACATTGTTGTTACAAAAGGAAGTAATTTATTTAACTTTCTTTTTCCCCTCCCATAATGTCTAGTTTATTAACCTCCTTACATTTCCATAAATTATATCAGTATGAGAGGAAATGATTAATTGAAGATCGTTTCCTCAAAAACATTATTCCTGGTCATTAACAGTTTCAGCAAACTGCAGTGCCATATAATCTAAAAACATTCTTCTACTTTTAAATAGCCTCATGTTTTATTACTTTGCTCTAAAGTATTATGACCATAGAGCCCAGGAGGCATCATTACAAACATTCTGCAACTACACCCTGAGTTTTCTCATTGCATACAGTTTGCTATTAAAAATTCCTGTCATGTCCTAGATGTTTTCCTTGATGAATAATAATGAGGCTTACAAAAAAATTCACAATTAAATTCATTAAATTCTCATATTGAAATGTTAACAGCTGTTAGGATTTAAAACACAATTAAAAATAAAACCCCACAAAACAATAAACCAAAAAACATACCGTGGCTCCTTACATCCTTACAAAGATAGAGGTGTTGATGGAGATTTTTCAAATGGTATACTAATACGGGGAAATTATTTTTTAATTTTTTATCTTTAAACACTTTAAAGAAGTCAAAATTCTAAAAAGAAATTACATAGCAATTAAGAGTAATTAAGTTTCATGGCAATTTTTTTTCTTTTTTTTTTTCATGCTTTACAGATAACCCAAGTGGTCAGGCCCTGGAGGAAAAGATTATCTATGGAGTAGAGAACAGCAGCACTTTCCTTGAGTGCAGTCCGAAATCTCAGCGTGCTGTAGTCTATTGGCAATTCCAGAAGCAAAATGATGATCGCAAAGAAGAGGTACAGTAGGAAAAAAAAAATAAAGAGATGCAACTAATTTTCTCTATAAAGGTAGACTTCAGTCTGAGTCTTCCCAGAATAATTTTAGTCGAGCAGAACTTCTCTGTAATATATGATTTCCTTTGTTCTTCAGCATATTCGCACTCTTATTACCATAAAATCCTGTAAGGTCCTTAATAGGTTTTACAGATTGTTGCAGCAGCAAGCATTCATATCCTCTCCTTCCTCAGACTCCCTAAAAACCACAGAGATCCCAGAAACAGAAAAAGCTTGAATTCCATCTAACTGTCACCTGAAACATCACACAAAGATTATACAAACTTAAATATTGCAAGGCCTTAAAATTGCCTTTGAGAAAAAGCTTAACTGCTTTCCCCTCTCATATTGTTTGAGTGAAGCACAGCCTGGCAGAAGCATCCCATGTGCTGCATGCTCTGAGACTTCACTGCAGATAAGAGTCAGAATGAAGAACTGAGAACTGTAGTGGACACAAGAGTATGGAAACTTTTATTTTCATCAAAAGCAGTATTCAGAGAGGCAGAAACACTTATTTCCCTGTTTGCATAACAGTAAGCTGATACTTTATTTTTCTCCTTTCCTTGTCACCGTCATTCTTATGTTATTAATCACTCAAGTGTTCAAGTTGTATCAAGCCAGGTCACACACATCTTAGGAGAACAGTCTACTCTGGTAGGTAGGGAGGTCAAGGTAGGGAACAAAAATTGTTTTGTTCCCATTGAAGTATTTGGAAGTATACATACATATATTTAAAGCATGTTCAGAATCATTGCATTAGCTGCTTTAAATATTTTTGTTTTGTTTGAATAAGTAGTAAATTATTAAGAATTTAAACTTGGTGAGAGAGCAGCAAACAGGTCTGTGCTTTTCCTGTCTGCAGCAACATGCACATTGAGAGAAAGAAGTTCCACTGTAGATATGAATTAATTCAGAAAAAAAACCTGTATTTTGAACAGTTGCTTTTTGAATAGTAAAATTTTTAGATTTGATCCTTAGTTTCTTGTTTGTAAATTTTCCACTTAGGCAGAACCCACTTCTGTGCATGAGGGTTTTTGTAATGAGGAACAACAGGAAGACAAAGAACCTTTCCTGCAAATGGGTCTAGATTTGACTAGCAGATAATGAGACCTCAGGAATACAGCCAAATGAATCCATGTTTACTCTGCTGATTACAGGCTCAGATCTTCTGTAATCTTTCCAGCAACTCCATCTGACATAGTTGAAACAGATCTTTGTTCAGCAGCAGTAGTTACTAAGGAGTAAATTCCTAATTCCCCAAACTCTTGGCATTATATCAGCTTTTCCAAAATATTTGAGCCTTTCATGATAACAGATGACTGGCAAAGGGTTTTCCATTTTTTGTGGGTTTGGGCATTCTTGGCCAGGTCTTACCAGTTAAAAGGAGCAGTAATGAAGAAGTAGCATGGTTAGAGGATAATGTAGCACATGCATGAAAAATAACTCTTGAAATAACCACTTTTTCCCAATACAGATAAAAGTGGGTGACCACATGATCCGGACAGAACAGGGCCTGTTGCTACGAAGCCTTCACCGGAGGGACTCTGGGGTTTATTTCTGCCATGCTGTGGAGCATGGCTTCATGCAGACCCTGCTCAAGGTGACCCTTGAGGTGATCGATAACGACCACCTGGAAGAGCTGCTTCACAAGGAAGAAGATGGTGATGGCTCCAAGATCAAGGATGCCACCAACAGCATGACCCCCAGCCAAAAGATCTGGTACAGAGACTTCATGCAGCTGATCAACCACCCCAATCTCAACTCCATGGATGAGTTCTGTGAGCAGGTTTGGAAAAGAGACCGCAAACAGCGCCGGCAGCGGCCTGCCAACGCGCAGGTGAACACAAATAAGTGGAAGCACCTACAAGAGAATAAAAAAGGTAGAAACAGGAGGACCCATGAATTTGAGAGGGCACCACGTAGTGTCTGAGCTACATTACCTCTAGGAACCTCATCCAAGTAGAAACTTGTATAGACAGATAACTGGAAAAAAATGCAATATTCATGAACCTTTTCATGGCATTATGTGGATGTTTACAAGAGTGGAAAGTTCAAACAGTTTCCACTAGGTTTAAATAAAATCCATTTCTAATTTTCCTAGCAAGTCCTTCCTCTCTGCTCTGATTCTAAGACCAGAAAAACCAGAGTTTCAAGGATGGTAACTCACCTGCACCTAGGTTACTGCTCAAAAACTTCTGCAAGTATTCAGCAGGCAAGTTTTGCTTTCTCTTTTGATGGAGATATAAAGAAAATAGTGTATTTCATGCTGTCATCTTACAGGAAAGAAAAACAAGCCCCACCTTTCATCATCAGCACTACCACTTCTAGACTTATATAAAACTGCATGAACTCATTAAGCTGATGAACGTCTAAACACGTGATTGGACACAAGGATTTTGTTCTTGTTTTGTCTACCAGTTCTCCTGTTTATATGTGCTAGAAGAGGAAAAACAACACTGAATGAGATTGATTGTGGAAATCTGAACAACATAAGCCATCCATCATCTGGAAGAAAAAAAATGTGGAGTACACTGGCCTACTACTGATGACTTCTTTCAGCTTTGATCTAAAGATGTATTTTATTAAAAGTATAATTTAAATGTACCATGAAAAAATATGCAGCAAACATTAGCTCCTTTCTAAAATAGATTAGACTTTTTGTCTTAGAAATATTGTACTTTCTAATTATTGGTTTAGAGGAAAAAAAGACAACTTCCAATTATGACTGCTTTACTCTTTTGTTTGGGAAAACTTCCAGGGGAGCTGGTCACACTGCAGTTAGCCTCCTCCCCTGTCAATAATCTATATGACATGTAACTTCAAAGCAATTTTAAAACTAAGCTATTTTAACATGAAAGTCACTGTATAGCATGGAAGTATTCTGCATTCTGTTTTTTAAGTATGGTATTTGAAATTATTCAACTTGTTAATACCTTGCTATAGATTGAACCAATGAAGAGGAGAGCATTGATTTTCAGTTGTATATTTTTTTTTTAATTAAAAAAAACAAATAGCATTAAAATACCCTCTGCTAATTACACTCTTGCTTTCTTGGTTCATACTTGTGAATGCTAATATTTAAATACTGATGCTCATAGACTGTCATATACCCATGAGCAAAGCTCACATTCAGTTTAAGGAGTTGTATTCCCAGCTCTGTGGTAGAGATTTGTCCACACTACTGACTCTCAGTGCTCTGTTCTTTCTGTGGGCCAGACCACCAAAATGCACAGAAACAGCACTAGGCCACCTAAATAACAACCCCAAAGCCAGCTCCCCATTTTAAGATCTGAGGGACAATTTTACCTGTGGGTGAAATCTGCTGAAGTAGTAAATAGGTGAAGTTCAGCTTAAAGACTAGTTTATGCTAACAGAAAATTTGGTCCTGCACTTCTGTATGATTCCATATACAGGAGAGCAACAGAGTAAAACAGACAATGTACTTGCATCATGAGTGTCAGTTTAGGGTTATAAGTAGTGGATTTATTCACCTCAGCACAGATGTGCCTTTGGTCCCCAGTTCTATGGTGTCCAGTTCTTTTGAGATCATCTTTCTCCAGCCTCCCATATTTTATCTTGGTAGAGTCTGTAAATGACATAATTTCAAGTAATGTCATTGTGGGGAAAATTACTAGAACAAAATCCTTAGTTTGCTAAAGGAGCTTTTATATAAAAGTGTGTCTGCACTGATGACTGATCTGTTTTGTTGTTATTCACTCTGTGGTATTTAATTTATCAATTTATTGCTACACTATCAACCAGCCTTATCAGATACAATATAACACAACTGCTATGACAGCATCTCACAATGTGCCCCAGCCTCCTTGCCACTCACTAATTCAAGTATCCTTCTGCTTAGTGAAGCCTTGGCTCCTTGCCTATTGGATTAGAAATTGGATTTTCACTAACAGCTGAGTTACTTCAGTCCCTTTTGAATTCTTTGGAGGGGATGAACTTGCAGGATTCTTTTGTCATTTAATTCTTCAGGAAAAAAAGTCATTGAATAGGCTAGGACAAGGCTGTAGGGCCATGATTTAAGAAAGCACTTGGGAATTTATTTTTAAAGCAGCTTTTAAGTCTCTCTTATGTTTAACCTGACTCTTGTGAACTTCAGTATGCTGGTAAATTCCCATTATTTCATGATGTGCTGAATATGGATGAATTAAAACATATGTTCGACTATGTACTTTTCTGTACAGAAGTATTAATTTTTCGGCTCAGCTTATGGTTAATTTCTGAGCATTGTTGTCAGATGAATTATTTAATTTTAATCACAGAACATTCTTTAGCCTTTTGTGAAGGGCTGTTGTCTACTATCTAGTTACTACAGTACTCTTTCTTACAAAAGGAAACAGTTTTAAAATAAACCTCAGAGAATTCAGTGGGATTTTGGATTGATTTCAAAAGACCCCAAATCACTTTGTTTCCTTTTTTACAGATTCATGGAATTGCTATGTAACTATTTTTCTCTTCCATGTTTATAGCAACTGGTTCTATAGGAACTCCTTAAAAAAACCTGAACCAAAACCATCCTCTTTCACAATGCCTGAAGAGGAAACATATTAAATAAAGTCAGAATTCCAAGATAGTTTTTCTATACTGAGAAAGATAATCTGTGGGAACAAAATTACGGAAGTTGCAACATTTTTACCCTGACCTGGCAGTCTCATTGAACAATTGATGTGATCATATCTTACAAACTTCAGCCCAGTCCTCACTGACATGAGTAGTCTTGTTTAAGATTTTCTATTTGTTTATATAAAGAAGAGGGCAAAAGATCAAGCCAACAGTGGTAATTTTTGATTTTTTAGGTTCATGTTATGGTCAAGTTAAAGCAACATTTAATACTGATGTGAAATGAACTTCCTTTCAAAAAGCATAGGCCTTAATGAATTAATGTATAGAAAGATGCCCTGCAGCTTCAGTAAGATTCATAACCCCATTTATGTCATTATTGTTAAAAGCAACATAAAGTTTGAAAATAAAGATTAAAATGGTATTTCTGTAAATGGCCAATAAAACCCTTTAAACCTCTAGTTACAGACTTTAGAAGTAAGTAAAAAGTTGTGTTTAAGCTGGAGAGAAATAAAGGATTTCATTTATAACCAGAAAGATCTATTTTCGTTGTTTTAAGGTATCCATCTGAAAGGAACAAAAATATATTTAATCTTATACTCTTTGCACTTGCACAGATCACTGAAATGGGAATTTGTTCTATGGCTCCTAAAAACTGTATGGTTATGTTAAACTCTAACATCAAACTGAGAAAACATGCATCTTTGCAAAACAAAGTTAAATCTTCATGACCCAATAAAGTCACTATGTAAAAAAATTAAATTAAATGCATGTGAATGCGCATTTACTGTTCCTTTTTATGTATTATTTAGTGAATATCAATGGTATGTGTTTAATAGTTCAGTTTTTGCTACCTACACATTAGTCAAAAGAGATGTAAATATTTTTGACTAGGTAAGGAGGTACAGTGTAAAGTACTGTTATCTAGAGGTACTCCATTTCGGTGTGCTCAGCAAAATACTAAAATGCAAGATTTTGCCACACAGGTGATAAGGTGGTTTATTTTCTATACCAGTGTTTGAGCTGTGTGCTTGTTCTTTAAACACATTCCTCACTGGGTAGTAAATAATTCCACTTCTGTATTTATCACTTCAATTCAGATGGGAACTAGAAAACTGGAGAGAAAGTGTAATGAAACTGCTGCTGTAAATTATTTCTTTTAGCATGTATTCAGTTGTTAAATAAACATTTCTTCCAAATATTTGAAGTTCAGTGTCTTGACTGTTTACACGGAAATGTGCCCTGTAACCTTCATGAGCATATGGAGTGCATTGTTGCCAATATAATGCTATCAATGTGTATGAGCTCTGTTTATTAGGCCAGAAGGATTGCTATTAGTATTAATGGCATTTTTTGTTTCTTTTTTGAAGGCTACAAACTAATAAGCCTGAAATGAGAGGCATGAACTTATCTTCAGCCTATCTTTTGGCACAGCTGCTGAGCTTGTGCAGATAAAGCCACACATAGACACACACACCCCCACTCTCCACTCTGCCCATGAACCGAACTGTAAATCAGCCTGGAAGCCATGTGAATATGAGCAAGTTGCTGTACTTGATGAAATTTCACTCTGTGCAATGTTAATGGCTTAGGACAGCTATGCTGCTTCCCTTTGGAAACTGGCTTGCACAGAAAGCAAGTGGAATAAATCAGGTTCTGTCTGTTACCAACATACTCTTGTATCCTTAGGTAAACTTAGCAGCTGTTTGGAAGTGCTTAGGGGCTCCATCTAAAAGTAATATGCTGTGGCACTAAGCATTGTGCAAACAGCTAATAAGACAAATGGCTGTTCTGGAAAGCATGAAGTTTAAATACACTAGAGAAGGAGTGGAGGAAGGAAAGTATCAATATTTCCATTTGGCACGTACAGAACTGAAGAATCAACCAGTAGTACTGAGCTGTCACTAATCCATTCAGCCTCACCCATGCTCCTTCCTGTAGAGCAAGGATAGAGGAGTCTGCTTCAAAAGGATGCTGTAAGGATATTTTATGGCTAATACTGTTTTCTGAGATTGCAAATAAGCCCTCAGCAGCAGCCAAGCAACTCAGTGGATTACAAAAGATGCTGCAAATACAAAAAGGACAAAATTAATATGACAAGCCATGAATCCGCTAATTGCAAAAGCAGTAACTTTGTATTTCTGTGACCAGTGTACAGCTTAGAAATACAGAGGGAGAGCCTTGATTCTGGATGCAGCCACACTGTGTCCTTTGCTAGCATTCCCTGCAGAGCACAGCTAAAATGAGTGTTCTCTGTTACTACTCTGTACCTGCCAGGAACATACAATGCCTAGGGGCCACCTTCAATGACAATGAGGGAGAAGAAAGAAGAAACATTTAAGATGTAATGCTTTTATGTTCTTAAATACAAATGCACAGATAGACAGCTATACATTTAAACAGCCAGCTTTCACTGAGATGAAATTCTCCTTT